GCAGCGTACTTAGACATAAAACAAGCCTTCGACAGAGTCTGGCATGATGGGCAACTCTGCAAAATTAAGCCCTTACTGCCACCTCAACTATATTTAATTGTGCAGAATTATTTGACAAACCGGTCATTTTCGGTAGTACTCGATGGAGTTGAGTCCAACATGAAGGCCATCGGGGCTGGCGTTCCTCAAGGGAGTGTGCTAGGGCCCACGCTCTACACCCTCTTTACCTACGATATGCCCACTGGCTCTACAATTGAAGTCGCGGACCCCCACGACCTTACAATCGCCACTTTTGCAGATGACACAGCCATCTTGTCAAGAAACGAATGTGTCTACGAAGCTACCGACGTCCTGCAGCAATATCTCCACCAATTTGAAATGTGGGCCAAGCGCTGGAATATTGGCATTAATTTAAATAAATGCGCCAATGTGACCTATGCGCTACGGAGGGACATGTGTCTGGGAGTTTTCTTGCGCGGCCAATTGGTGACGCACTTCAACAGCCACAAATACTTAGGTGTGCACCTAGACAGACGCTTGAACTTTAACAAGCACATCACAAGTGTTTCAGTAACCCTAAAGAACAGAATAGGAAAACTAAGATGGCTTCTGAACAGTAGAAATGCGCTATCTTTGAAAAATAAAGTCACCATTTATAAATCCTGCATAGCTCCCGCCTGGCGTTATGGTATCCAGGTATATGGCATTGCTGCAAAGTCCAGTCTTTCAAAAATCAGGGTGCTCCAAGCAAAAACGCTCCGATATCTGTCTGGTGCCCCCTGGTATATGAGAACCTCCGACTTGGAGAAAGACTTAGGAGTGCCCAAAGTCGGGGACATAATAAATATACAGGCCGCAAATTATATAGCGCGACTGAGAAGTCATCCTAATCGACTGGCTAGGCGTCTTCTGAATAGGCGCAGAATTGGAGGACTCCGAACGCGGAGGAGACTACGAAGGTCTCACCCAATAGATCTCCCAGATCGATTTATATAGTTGACACTGTAAATTTGTATATAAGACTTACCAGTAGAATAAGTAGATTGTAAATATTCATACAAATTTAATTTAAGTTGTTCCAGATAATAACAGAAAAATTAAAATAAAGCTAAACTTAATAATAAAAAAAAAAAAAATCTATCGATATGAAAAAAGGTTGTAATCGGATGCAATCCAATTAGTAGTCTACCTACAAAAGTTGATAACTCTATTGTTAAAACAGTGAATGACAAAGGATTTTAGGCAGTCTCGTCGACTCAATTAAACATCATAAGTCGTTTAGTTTAGAAGTTAGTTGGAAGCGACTTAGTTAACGAAGCGACTAGTTCGAGATAGTTGTGTAATCACACTAATTGCAATGAGACCCTTTTTGGCATTAAATTAGTCAGCCTTTAATAAATATTGTAGGCTAATAGTTTGGCAATATTTATTCTTTAACGATCTAGCTATATATGCACATACTCCGAAAATGTTTGATTTTTTCATTTTTTGCGACACCCTTATAAACGACTTTAAAAAAAGCTAAAGTCTAAATATAACAACTTTTAACAAAGGAGCCAAAAAACCCTAAAGACCAAAGCAAAACACGAGAGAAAAATTGCAAAAGTTTCGGCCGCTCAAAAGGCGGCAAAGGCAGTGCATAGGAGAGAGTTAGACGCTTAAGGCTTAAGGGAGGCAGAGAGAATGAGATAGGAAAAAGAGTTCGTTTTAAATATGCCGCAATAATCGAAGTTGAAGTCGAACATCAATGGCTGCCAAAGCAAGCGGGCAAGCTTCAGGGCGACGGCAGAGCACTGAGCAGACGATGCCCGGAGCCGGTCAGAGCAGATCCCAAAAAGTATGCAACACAATTTTAATTAGTTTTGAAAAGTATTTTAATTTTTGCAATTTGTGTGCGCCACACGGCGGCAGCCGGAGCCACAAAAATCTCTTGCCTATTGCCAAAGCAATTGTTACAGCACGAACAACGCCCATGCAACGTTGGACCGAGGGAACAAGTCGAAATCTCGTTTAATGCGGCACTTTAACGATTATTAACATTATTAGTTGTAATGAGCGTCGTCAGCCCGTTTTAAAGTTTTCCCAGCAAAATTTGCCAGCTATTCAAAGAATGGATGCGTAAAACAAAAGCGACCAAAACGCAAAACCCAACAAAATAGAAAAATTTACAAAAAAAAAAAAAATGAAAAATTGTTAAAATAAAAAACAAAAACCTAAGCGAAAGTTGAAAAAGTTGGTAGAAATTTTTGCAATTATTTTTCTGTTTTAATGCAATAGTGGCGTTTCCAGGTTTCCCCCCCTTTTGTACTTCATTTTACTTCTTTTTTTTCAGCTTTGAAGCAAAAAGTTTGTTTAAACTATGCGGCCAGGCCGTTCTGAACGGTTTACATTTCGTCCGTCGATCTGTCCAACTGTCCGCCCGTCTGTCCTGGCCAGCTTGGCGGTTGCGTTAAGCATTCTCAAAAGTATGCTTTGATTTTGCGCCCGACGTTTGACGCATTTGCCAACTGCGTGCAATTCAGTGTTCGAAATGTTTGTGCTTTGGGTTTGCCCAATTTTTGCCGGATATATTTATTTAGGGTGTTTGCTTTGAGCTTGCTTTTTTATTCCCAGAAAGTTTTTAAATTAAAGCCACTAGTTTTGGTCGAAAGTTTAGCTAAAGTGGAAGTTATAAGACGAACAATTTTTAACTGGACTTACGAGTGAAATGAGGCAAGGCACTTACCTAAAACGAGAATAGAAAGGAAAATATATTAATTATTTTTTCAAAATTATCGGTAACTTGGTATTAGCTAATAGAGCGTAACGAGAGATCCAAATAAACTAAGTAGTGAATAATTTATCATTAATTTTTGTTATTACCACAAAGAAAGGAATACGCAAAGGATAACAGAGTATTTTTCTTCTCATTTAACTAATATAAATAATTAAATTTGCGTAATAACTCAAATTTCTGTCTGCTATATCAGCAGGTATCTGTTTTCCGTACGTTATTTTCAAAAAAATATATTGCAAATTTTGTTTTCGAATGGTATGGACTTCAAAAGCTTCCAAAACTGTATATTTTTCCTTTAACTGAGCTAATCAATATTTGTCAATGTGTTGCCAGAAGCTCGAAAGACGCCCAATTTGCGGCTCAAATTCCGTAGCTGCCTTCGGCAACTATCCCACCCTAGGAGCTGTCGCGTCGCAGAGGCACACACACACACACAAGTTATGCTGCGCTAGGACTTAATTACACACAACTCATTTGCCGCATACAAAAACAAACTCTCCGGTCGCACAACCCTGGGACCACATGGGAACTGACAGACAGTAGACGAAGTCGTTGTCGTCGTTGTCGCATTTGAAATAGAAAACCCAAAGAGGACACAAGCGGCGAGGAAAACACATGACACAGAACAGAAGCTGAAGCTTAACCAGAGGCTGAGATTGAGGCAGTGGCTGTGGCAGTGGCCTGGTGGCAGCCACAATCAGTGAAGCGTGCAACTAACACAGACTTTTGTTTATATGTCATACAAATTACTCATACGTTAATAATTTAAACGGATGGCTGTTGATGATGGCCAGTCGAGGCGTCTGCAAATTTGCTTTGCCAATATACCCCACCGCCACCACTCCGCTCCAGCCCTTAAGCTTACTGTGAAATCAATATGAAATGAAAACCAAATACGCATTGCCCGTCTCTCTGCGAGTCTGCCTGTCTGCCTGATGGCCTGTCTAAACAGAAAGGCAGCACCTCAAGCTTGTTTACTTTATGCCCGATAACTTTCATTATCATGCCCCAAAATGCATAGCCCAAAGCAAAGAAAGATACACATATATTTACCACATACGTGTCCATATACTCTATGTATGACTGTATATTGCTCGCTGGAAAATTCATTATTTCATCAATAAAACAATGCGGCAGTCAATATTTTCGCTTGACATTGGCTTGTTTGCCAAATTATGCGGACATACGTACATCTATATTACTGAGTTGTTATTTGCTTTTAGCACATTTTATTCTTATATAAAATTGACACTAAAATTGTTTGGGATTTGCTCGTAATTCGTGTCTGCAATAAACTACCTCAGTTCGTTTCGTTTGGTAAAAATTAATAAAATAATTGGATTTAAGTTTTTAAATATAAATGCAATTTTAAGAATTCAATAATTATGGACGTAGGAATAGAATAGAATGGACCACCAGCGGAATTAAGTTATCAGCAAGCTTATGGTCACGAGTTTGGAGCTCGTATTAATGTTTGGAAAAGAAGTAAAACATTTTGATAAATCTGCAAAACAGTTTATTTTTCATACCCAAATAAAATATTTTATAAAATTTAAAATTTGCTCTTTGCTCATAATTATTCTCCAATTTAATATAAATTTTTGCTTTTTAATGTCAATAAAAAAAGGTTTTAATTCAATTGATTTTAGCCGTTTTATGCAAAATAACATTTTAGGTATTCAAAACTAACCAGATTTAATAAGTTGTACATGGTTAACTATGTTTATGCTTCGAAATGGTACACACATATTTAATTTATATGCTTAACTCAGACTGATTTTTGGGATTAGTTAGTCAGCACTCGGAGAATCGTCAGGAATCGGAATCGTCATATTCATACTCTTGACCCACTGTAAGGTCGGGCCACTTCAATGGAGAATGCGGATCGCTTTCGCCAATTAAGTAACCCCCCTTAGAGTGGGGCAAGGGCAACAATATATTTGCTCCAGGTCTCAACTGTAACGGTAGCTCGGCAAATTTTCGCATCCACTGAACTATCAACGATTCAACTGGATGTTGACTAATCTCATTTGGCTCTGTATTTAAATCATCTTCGTCTGGTATAGTGGGTAATTGAACTTGTTTAAGATTATCAGCGTGAGCCAAACGATTTTGAAGGTCAAACAAATAGAATTTACTATCTAAACGTCTGGCGTAGGGTAGACCGAGAGCATCAAGAATTCCACCAGCCTCGATTATACCACTTTGATTTTGTGAACCAAACAGTTGGCAACTACCATCCCGACGTAGTGCTGGAACAGGGCAGCCCAGTGTGTCCCATTGGAAAACGGATGGTGTTACAAATATGCCATCGTTATGCCTATGCCAGGGAGATAATATATATTTATTTAGCCCACCATCATCTGTTTTATCTATATTCTTGCCTTTAACCTGGCTCTTCCTATTTCTCAGCTCCTGTTCCTGAAAACATTTCTTTAGCTGCTGCTCAAGTATGGCTACTCTTTTTTTCGCTTCCTGGTAGATTTTGTCAATCGTTTCTGTTTTCTCTCTTATATCGTGTGTATTTGGTTTCCGTTGTTCGATCTGTCTGTGATGCCTTTCGCTTTCTTGGCATTTCATTTTTATTCCAGCCTCCTGACCTTTTCCAGCATTTTCCACTTTTTTGGTGTTCATTTTACCATCCTTAACATGGCCATGTTTCGATAGAACTGTTTCCCTGTACATTTTTTCACATTCACTATTTTTTATTTCCGAACGTTTGCATTTTCTGTCCACTTTTGCGGAGTTTTTGCTCGCCGTTTGGCAGGGTTTCGCACATTCGTCGGACTTGGCCATCTTTGCGGCTTCCTCGCATTTCTGAAGGCGAGCTTCATTTTTTAGCCTGCATTTATTTTTCGTTGCGGTTTTGTTTGGATCGGTGTTTCGGAATTCCTTGCATTTTTGTGGATGTGCTTCCTTTTGCAGGCTGTTGAATTGACCTGCATTGCATTTGTTTTGCATTTCAGTTTTATTTGGATCGAAGTTTGGATATTCCTTGCATTTTTGTAGGTGTGCTTCCTTTTTCGGCCTGTCTAATTGATATGCATGGTATTTGCCTGGTAGTTTGGGCTTTTTCGCATCGTCGTCTTGGAATTTCTTTAGTCGATCGAGTATGAACTGATTCTTCTGCTTTTCGTTAGCTTCCACGCACTTTTTCGGAAGTATCGATCCAGCTGCTTTAATTTCACTATTGTTCCTTTGAAGCTTCTGCTGCAGGCCCTGAGCATGTTTATCTTCTAAGCGCATTGAGTATTTACTTCTAAGTAACTGGCATTGCCTGATAATGTCATCGATCTGTCTTACTTCAGAGTTGATGTAATTTATATCAGATTGATTGTTGCTCACGTTCTTCGCATTACATCCTTTCTGCAGCGTTTCGACTTTTAATTGGAATTTAAATACTTCATCTGAGTTGTTGCTTTGCTCCTCCTCCAATCTCGAGCTGTCCAACTTATGATCTAAGGTTCGCTGGTACGCCATCCAGGATTTACCAAGCGCATTTATATTCGCATCCTTCGGATCCAAAAATCTCTTCTCGTTTTGTTGCATGTCCTTAATGCGCCTGGCTTTCTGATAGCGCAGGTCATGCAATTGTGTCTTCGAGTACGCGCTCTTCGTGCTCTTTACAGGATCTAAGAAAATGCTTTTATGTGTTGAGCTCAGGTCGAAGCCTAAATTTGGAAGTTTCTGTCCAATAGTACTCATTTTAGCGTTGAGTGCCTTGTTGAGTATAGAAGTCTGGCTTGATTTCTTGCCGAGACGAATGCTCTTTGGCGTATTTTCGGTCATCAAGTGTCTTTTCTGATTGCGTAAGTTATTTCGCTTCTGCATATCATTGACGTATTTAGCTATTTTATCTAGTTCCAACTCCTTGCGTTCAGAAAACCGTGCCCCAGCTGGGTTACTGCAAATGATATAATTTTCCCATTGCCGCAAATTCTCGAGCGCCTCTTCGAACTTCTTACTAGGCGGCTGGTTACGCCACAGATCGCTCGAGCTGTGTTTTACCCTCGAGAACAGCGAATTTAGGTCACCTTCAAACAAATCTAATGTGGATTCTTGTTCAGACTTTTTAAAGGCCGACAGATCCTTACAGAAAGTTTGGGCCAGGTACTTATCTTTGGAGCTCTTGGGTGGGCTACTCCTGTAATCTGACGAGGATTTTTTACTGGTTTTGGGTACAGCGCCATTTGAAAAAGGAATTGCCTTCAATTTTTGGAAGAGTATATTTGTTTTCCCACAAAAATTTTCAACTGGATCGGCCGAACCCTCACTATAGTTTGAAGAGTACATATTTGAATTTTCCTTTATTGATTTAGCTGGGCCGGATTTTTTGCCAAGAGCACTTCGGACTGTTGCTCCTTTATCTACGTTTTGGCGAGAAATGGAAGGGGACGTTTGACTTCTGAGCTGAAAGTTTGACTGAGGAGTTGAAGCACCAGACTTCGATCCAGAATAAACTGTTATAACATTTGGAGTGATCGATTTCTTCTCCTGCATTTTGATTTCAGATTTTTTGCAAAAGAATTTTTCTGTACGCGAATCTGCTTTTTGGGGCTTTGATTTGGCATCACACTTGATGCAACGTGCACTTCCAGATTTTTGAGGCTTTTGTTTGGCTGTGAATTCGGTAGACCGGATATTGCTGGGGCGTTGACCCAACAGGATGACGTCTTCTCTTGGATTTGGCATTATTATGGATTCAACGTCATTTTTTAATTGTTCTTGTTGCGAACAGAAAGAAATATTTGAAGGTTTACGCTTCACTGCTTTGGGCCACTTTATTTTTTTTGTATTGCATGTTGTTATATTACACTCTCTCGTCAACTGCTCTGGCTTTATTTCTACGGTCTTCTTGGAGACACGGTCGGATATTGGAAATAACTCACTTTTGGCAGATGATGGCTCATCGCAATCGTAGAATCTGTCGCTCTGTGTTTTTTTTATCAAAGTGCTTGGTTCATACAGTAGTTGCTTTAAACGATCTAGAAACTTCTTAGAACCACCATACCAAGATGATTTAATTGGTGCTCGTTTGCGCGACATATGACGTTTGGGGCAGGCTTCAGCTTTTCTGTCTGCAAACAAATGCCGCTTTGTGGAGCTTTCAGTTTTTTCTGCTGAGTGTACATTCCATTTGAAGTATGCTTCACTTTTATTCTCAATTGGTAGAGTTTGCTTGGCATAGATGTCAGTTGTCTTCTTAGCTGCTGGTTTCCTGCTAGAATTTCCATCGCATAGGCAGGAATTGGAGTTCTGCTGGCGGGAGTAAGCAGAACAACTCTTAAATTTTGTTTCTAAATTCTGATTCTTCTGAACGGCACGGCCAACCACCCCAACACGACGAGGCTCCTTTTCAGATGGATTCGTATTTGAGTCAATGCATTGCGGCGGTTGCGAGCGCGGGGAACCCCTTATATTGCGGTTAACTTCTGTTGGCAGCTGGCAACGCTTGCATCCGTTCAGAATTGGCTGCAGCTGTACACAATTGCAAATACGCCACATGTTGGCAACGGCAGAAATGCGAATGAATTTTGTTCAAAATAAAAAACCAAATATGTATGTACTTATATATCATTTATATCTATGCCCAACGATAATTTTTTTTAAATCTGTTAAATCTTATGAGAAGACTGATTAAAAAGTCAAAACGCTTTCTGTATCATCTATAATTTAATTCCGTTTTGAGCTTCCAATAATTCTTTAGCCGATTTCTTCAACGCATTTGTCTCCCATTCCGATAGTTGGGGCCGAACGATGCCAAACAGACCCCATTTGTTTACAATGCATGGTAGCGATAGAAATATATTCTCTTTGATTCCACACATTCCATTTGCATTTGTTGACAATGACAACACACGATTGCTGTTCTCAAATATGGCAGACACCACATCGGCAACGGTTAGGCCAATGGCCCAATTGGTATAACCCTTTCCTGCGATCACCTTGAATGCGGCATCTATCACGTCCTTGTGTACCTTGGACCATTCCATCGGATCCTTTCCCGTACCCATAGTGGGAATCAGCTTCTGGAGCCTCACCCCACCCACAGTTACTGCGGACCACATCGGCACCGAAGATTCTCCATGCTCCCCAAGGACATAGCCGTGTACTGAGCTTGTCGACACGCCCAAAAGCTTGCCAATAAATAAACGGAAGCGTGCTGTATCCAAATGACAGCCAGTACTGATGCAACGCTCGTAAGGTATTTTACCTACTTTGTGGGCCACCCAAGTCATGACGTCTGCTGGATTGGACACAACGATATACACCGCCTTGGGGCTCTGCTGGACTAGATCCGGCATTACGCTCTTGATAATATCCGCAGTCTTTTGGGCCACTTGCAAGCGAGTCTCATTCTCCTTGACGCGCGCTCCACACGTTAGGATAACCACTCTTGAGTCTTTGGTAGCCTTAACATTGCATGTTGGCTCCAGGTTACAATTGTTGAGGAATAATGAGCCGTGCTGCAGGTCCAAGGACTCGGCATGACACAGTTTCTCATTAATATCGTAGAGAGCCAAGTGATTAGTAACGCCCTTTGCGAGCAACGAGATGGCACACCCCATGCCAACAGCGCCGGAGCCTATAACGGAAACCTTGTTGCCAAACTCGTGGTCCTGTTTATCAAAACTTTTATACAGACAGGTACGAAACGCATCTAAAAGTTTCTGGCTCTTGCAGTTGGAGCTTGACATTCTGCGGAAGGCAATGGCACGTTTAGGATATACTGAAACGGCCTTGACATGCAACCGTCTTATGCCTCTCCTGGCAACGCATGATGTGGGTTTATTTTGAAAGCCGCAAAGGAAGTACTTGATGATCATGCCGAAAGCTCTCACATAAGATTTTAGCCAAAAATTTGGAATTTACCAAGAGAACAACTTTCAGAAAAACACAAAAACTCAAATTAGAAAATGACAGTTGCAAGCTGGGTTACTACGAGAAAAAATATTGTTTTCTTTTTTAGTCATAATTTTTCATTTTTTTATTACTGTTACAATTTTGATTATGTTGACCATCTCAACTTTTATGTTCACTGATTTTGAGTTCTTTCATATTCAAGAATTTAAAACTTGAGCAAAACGACGGAAATTGAAACAAAAATAGCCTGATTTGAAATGCGATCACCGGAGATATTCACTTTCAAGAGATATTTTTGAATCATGGTAATCCTTCTGAATGATGCAGAATGTGGATTCCATAGAGTTGGTTCAGGTTGGCAGAAGCTATGCATCGCAATATAGTATGGATATTTGTATTCTTTTTTTTTTTTTTTGTATGATGGGAAATTTTCATTCTGTTAGAGTTGTAAGTATAAAAGCATATTTTAGCTAGCATAGACTAAATCTTGATTTTTCTCTTTTTCACCTTGCCGTGGCAAAAAAAAAAACAACGATCATTTTAAAGGGTTTTATGGGCAGCAAGCATAAAGCTGTGCCAAAACCAAGCAAACTATATATTTATTAAGGATATTAAACTTAACTGAAGGCCCGGTTCGTTTTTTGCTACAGTTTAATTGTTTTCTGTGCGTCCAGCAATACGTCTGCGGACCTTTTGAGCCTTCTTTCCTCCCAACCGGAAAGCTGAGGATGTATTACACCATACAGTCCACACTGGTTGACAATACATGGCAGGGATAGAAACACTTCATCGTCGATTCCACACATGCCCTGGGCATTAGTTGACAATGACATGATGCGATTGCTGTTTTCAAAAATGGCAGACACAACGTCTGTAACGGTGAGGCCAATGGCCCAATTAGTATAACCCTTACCCGCGATTACTTTGAAGGCCGAATCCACCACGCTCTCATGCACATTCGACCAGCGCATCGGATCTTTATCGGTGCCAATAGTAGGCAGCATATTCTGCAGTCGGGTACCTCCCACGGTTACGGAGGACCACAATGGCACAGAGCTATCTCCATGCTCGCCCAGCACAAATCCATGAACCGAACGCGTCGACACCCGCACCAGCTGCGCAATAAACATGCGGAATCGGGCGGTATCCAAGTGACATCCAGGACTAAAGCAGCGTTCATAGGGCAGATTGGATACTTTACGGGCGACCCAGGCCATTACATCTGCTGGGTTTGATACAATGATGAAGACTCCTTTGGGGCTTTGCTTAACCAGCTCAGGAACAATCTTTGTAATAATGCCCGCTGATTTTTGGGCCACTTTCAATCGCGACTCGTTTTGATTACAGCGTACTCCAGCTGTTACAACTACCACTCTCGAATCTTTGGTGCACTCGACGCTGGTGCAGTGGTCAATATTGCAGTTATTAAGGAAAAGTGATCCATGTTCCAGGTCCATGCACTCCGCAGCACACAAGTCCTTCTTCAAGTCGTAGAGAGCTATGTTATTGGTGACACCCTTGGCAAGCAAGGCAATGGCACAACCCATGCCCACGGCCCCAGCACCAATGACAGACACTTTATTACCGGGCTGAAATTCTTGTTTCTTTAGTGTTTTGTAAAGAATTGAGCGAAACGAAGCAGGATTTAGCTTTGAAGCCTCTTCCTCGCTCTTCTGAACCGCATTCTGGCACTCGTTTAGAGGCTCGGCTTCATTATTTTTTGTATTCGGAGCATCTGCTTCGCACTCTGTCTTTTGACCCTCCTCCTGTTTCATCTTTTTAGCGGCGTCTTGCATTTTTTTCAATTCACACTTTTTCCTGAGGGTCATCTCTTCCACTTTTTTCTTGAGTTCTTGGCACTTTTTCTGTAAAGCTTCCGCTTCGCATTTTTCTTTTATAGCCTCTAATTCCTTTTTAATTGGAGCATCTTTTTGCTTTTTACTAGCAGTGTCTTGCGTTTTTTTCATGGCGCACTCTTCCTTGAAAGCCATCTCTTCCAGCTTTTTCTTTAATTCTTGGCACTTTTGCTCTAAAGCTTCCTGTTCGCATTTTTCTCTTAGAGCCTTTGATTCCTCTCTAATTTGAGCATCTTTATCTTTCTTTCCAGAGGTGTCTTCCGTTTTTTCCAATGCGCACTTTTCCTTGAGAGCCATCTCTTCCACTTTTTTCTTAAGTTCTTGACACTTTTTTTTTAGAGCTTCCTCTTCGCATTTCTCTTTTAGAGCCTCTTCCTTTTTCTTAAGAGCTTCCTCTTCACACTTTTTCTTTTGAGCCTCCTCTTCTTGTTTCTTCTTTTCAGCGGCATCTTGAATTTTTTTCAGTTCGCACCTTTTTCTGAGAGCGTCCTCTTCCGCCTTTTTCTTAAGTTCTTGGCACTTTTTCTTTTGAGCTTCCTCTTCGCATTTCTTTTTAAGAGCCTCTTCCTTTTTCTTTAGAGCTTCCTCTTCGCATTTCTTTTTAAGAGCCTCTTCCTTTTTCTTTAGAGCTTCCTCTTCGCATTTTTTCTTTTGAGCCTCCTCTTCTTGTTTCTTCTTTTCAGCGGCGTCTTGAATTTTTTTCATTTGGCACCTTTTCCTGAGAGCGTCCTCTTCCGCCTTTTTGTTAAGTTCTTGGCACTTTTTCTTTTGAGCTTCCTCTTCGCATTTCTTTTTAAGAGCCTCTTCCTTTTTCTTTAGAGCTTCCTCTTCGCACTTTTTCTTTTGAGCCTCCTCTTCTTGTTTCTTCTTTTCAGCGGCGTCTTGCATTTTTTTCATTTCGCACCTTTTCCTGAGAGCGTCCTCTTCCGCCTTTTTGTTAAGTTCTTGGCACTTTTTCTTTTGAGCTTCCTCTTCGCATTTCTTTTTAAAAGCCTCTTCCTTTTTTCTTAGAGCTTCCTCTTCGCACTTTTTCTTTTGAGCCTCCTCTTCTTGTTTCTTCTTTTCAGCGGCGTCTTCCATTTTTTTCATTTCGCACCTTTTTCTTAGAGCGTCCTCTTCCGCCTTTTTCTTTTGAGCTTCCTCTTCGCATTTCTTTTTAAGAGCCTCTTCCTTTTTCTTTAGAGCTTCCTCTTCGCACTTTTTCTTTTGAGCCTCCTCTTCTTGTTTCTTCTTTTCAGCAGCGTCTTGAATTTTTTTCATTTGGCACCTTTTCCTGAGAGCGTCCTCTTCCGCCTTTTTCTTAAGTTCTTGGCACTTTTTCTTTTGAGCTTCCTCTTCGCATTTCTTTTTAAGAGCCTCTTCCTTTTTCTTTAGAGCTTCCTCTTCGCACTTTTTCTTTTGAGCCTCCTCTTCTTGTTTCTTCTTTTCAGCGGCGTCTTGAATTTTTTTCATTTGGCACCTTTTCCTGAGAGCGTCCTCTTCCGCCTTTTTGTTAAGTTCTTGGCACTTTTTCTTTTGAGCTTCCTCTTCGCATTTCTTTTTAAGAGCCTCTTCCTTTTTCTTTAGAGCTTCCTCTTCGCACTTTTTCTTTTGAGCCTCCTCTTCTTGTTTCTTCTTTTCAGCGGCGTCTTGCATTTTTTTCATTTCGCACCTTTTTCTGAGAGCGTCCTCTTCAGCCTTTTTCTTAAGTTCTTGGCACTTTTTCTTTTGAGCTTCCTCTTCGCATTTCTTTTTAAGAGCCTCTTCCTTTTTCTTTAGAGCTTCCTCTTCGCACTTTTTCTTTTGAGCCTCCTCTTCTTGTTTCTTCTTTTCAGCGGCGTCTTGAATTTTTTTCATTTGACACCTTTTCCTTAGAGCATCCTCTTCCGCCTTTTTCTGTTGGGCCTCTTGTTGTTTCTGTAAAGCTTCGTCTCGTATTTTCTTCAACGCGCACAGTTTTCTAAGAGCCGCCTCCTTACACTTTGTCTTAAGAGCTTCTTTCTCCTGTTCTTCTTTCTCTCCTTCGCACTTTTTCTTCAAAGCCTCCTCCTCGCATTTTTTCTTTTGGGCCTCCCCTTGCTCCTTCTTTTGGGCCTCCTCTTGTCCCTTCTTTTGGGGATCTTCTTGCTTCTTATTTTGAGCCTCCTCTTCTTGCTTTGTCTTGTTAGCCGCCTCTGCACACTTCTTGCTTAAAGCTGCCTCCTCACATTTTTTCTTAAGGGCCTCCTCTTCACACTGTTTCTTAAGAGCCTCTTCCATGCACTTTTTCTTAACTTTTTCCATTTCACATTTAATAAAAGCGTCCTCCTCGTTTTTTAATTTCATCGCCTCCTCTTCTAACGCCTTCCGTTGTTGAATCTTTTCACATTCGTCCTCATCAGCATTCGTTCCTTCCGATTCATTACTCCCTTGCTTTGGATGTACGTCCTTTCTATTTTTAGGCTTTACTGTTACACTTTCCGCGCACATTTCTGTCAACACTTTCCTTCTGCATTTTTCTTTAACAAGCTCCGACATGCATTTGTGAGAACGGGCTAGCTGCATCTTTTCACTCTTGCTTAGCGCACTCCGACACTGACAGATATCTTCCCACTCTTTTTGAATACATTTATCTAATTTCATAGTAAATTGATTTTTAGGCCCATCGGATTTTTCAAACGGATTCTCCTTATTTGCCAATTTACAGCATATAGATTCTATTGGATCGCTTTGTTCTAATTCATCACCTACGTTTTGTTTTTTAGACTTTTCCTTACTTATTTGATCCTTTACTTTTTCTTTCACCTTCTCAGTTTTTGACTTATTTTTCGATGTTTCTTTTTGCTGGCTTTGATCTTTCTCTTTTTGGCTTCCTTTACCGTCTTTTCTTACGGTACCTCCCTTACTTCCCTTTCTCCCTTTCTTCGATTTAAGCTCCTTTGATTTTTTTGAGTCCTTCTCAGCAGATTTTTTTTTCTCGCAATGCCTCAATAATTTTTTGATCTTATCATTTTTAGCCATCATCGCAAATTTTTGTTCAAGTTCTTTATCATTACAAAGCTTCTTATGGGCTAGTTTTTTACACGCCTTTTTCATGCCTCGTGTCAAACATTCCATCATGCTTTCCATTAATTTTTTTTCCTTCTGGTCCATGCATTGCATCGCGTCATCCAGAAGTTTCTTTTGACTTTTCATACATTTTTCCTCATATTTCTGAAGTTTTTCCTTTTCTCTCAGTTTCTTGCAGGCCGCTTCTAGCTTCTCCTTTTCTTCTCTCTTTTTATCCAATAATTTCGTGTAGTATTCACAAGGATTTGGCTTGTCTTCAGAGGAATCCGAAGAATCCGATTTTTTACAAAAGCTCACTCGTTGCATGAACTTTATCGAAGTCCTCGGCAAACGCATTCGATCCAAATAGCCCGTAAGCAGAAAAATGCTTCTCAAAACGGACTTACGGACATAAATGGATGTAAACCTATTAAAAGACATGCTGCAGGCCTTATTTAAATTTTGATGCCGCAAATAACGAAAATAATAAAATTTTGTCTAGTCTAAGAAATTGTTGTGGCTAAAATTTTGACATTATTGAGGCCCGAAAAAAAAAACTGTTTCGTACGCTAGTCTAATTGTAACTGAGCTGCTTTTCAAATATTAAGCAATACACTATTTGAAATGAGTACTAGATATGCATATATACAGGTGAGTACGGGAAAATTGTGGAATAAAAAAGAAAAAAAAAAGCACGGCGTATTTTTCTTCCAATTCTTAGCCTTTAATACAAGTAAATTAATTTTAAAAAAATTCAGCAGACTTCTTAAGCTAATCTAAATAAGTCGCATGCCATTCATAGAATCAGTTGTTTATTTTATTTACCACTTATTTGCATTCTAAGCAGATGCAATTAAGGGACATCCTTCAATACCCGATACATACTATATCCAGTAGTTGAACCAATACAAACCAAAACGGTAAGAGACAGCAACATCGCTTCCCACTTTTCTTGTTTACAACATTGGTAATAAAATATTAATGGGTGTTATTGGCTCCAAATTAACAACTGACTTTATTCATGTACCTGATATTGAGATATTTACGTTAAAAGGAACAAGTTTTTAAATAAAAAAAAAATGTATATAATCCAAAGCGTGAAGGCTACTTGACTATTTTTTCGGCGAATCGTTCAGTTATTTGAATGGATCACATTCACACCCCTTAGTTGCGGCATCTTTCTGTTTATTTTTTTTGAGAGCATCTTCTTCGCGCTTTTTCTGATGAGAGTCCTGTTCACATTTTCTCTTGAGGTCGTCAAATTTCTTTTGAAGAGCGTCCTGTTCATTATTTTTCTTCAAAACTTGTTCTTCTGCCTTTTTCTTCAGATCCTCATCTTCTTTTGCTTTTTTAAGAGATTCTTCTTGTTTAAGAGACTCTTCCAGCTTTTTTCTAAGAGCCTCTTCTTCCATCTTTTTTGCTTGGGCCTTGGTTTGTTGCTTTTGAGTCTCCTCTTCACATAATTTTTTCAGTGCCTCCTTTTCTTGTCTTTTCTTAAGAATTTTGTCTTCGCACGTTTTCTTAAGTGCCATCAACGTTTTGCGTAAAGTTGCTTCGTTGCAATTTTTCTCTAGAGCATTCGCATCTTCTCTTCTCTTTTGAGCTTTTTCTGCTTCCTTTGCCATTAGGGCATCTTCTTCTGTCTTTTTTTTCAGAGCTTCATCTTCTTGCTTTTTCTTAAACGCTGCTTCTTCTGCTTTCTCTTTATTGGCCTCTTCTTCTTTAAGTTTATTAAGCGCTTCCTCTTCCTGCTTTCTCCTTCTTGCCGCCTCCTTACACTTATTCTTTAGAGCCTCCTCTTCTTTTTTAAGAGCCTCTTCGGCTTCTTTATTTACTGCATCTTCTTTATTTTTCTGTTCTTTATTTTTCTTGGGAGCCGCTTCTTTAGACATTTTCTGTGTGGCTTCCTTATCGCACATTTTCTTTGGAGCCTCCATTTCTGTTTTTTTTTTGTTGGTCGCTTCTTCTTTTTTCATGTTAACGGATTTTTGTTTTTTAAGTTCTTCTTTCTGACTTTTTTCTAGTGTACGATCACCTTGATTTTTTTTTTTATCCCCCTCCATACATTGATTCTGAAAAGCTTCCTGCATACACTTGCCGTGCTCTTTCTGTTGAGCCTCTGACTCACCCTTTATTTTCTTAGCTTCCTCTGTTTTAATCTGTTTCTCTGGTTTTTTTTTTTGATCTTTATCTTCTTTCTGATTTTTTTTAGGCTTGTCCTCACACGGTTTCTTAAGATCCCCCTCCTCTGTCTTTTTCTTTTGAGCCTCCGTATTTTCAGCTGTCTGTTGACACTCTTTCTGCTGAGCTCCATCTCCTTGATCATCCTGCTGCTTTTTATCGAGCTTACATTCAGAGTTCGGTTCTGCAGATGTGCCACACATCTCGTTCAACACCTTTATTTTGCACATATCCTTTATTTGAGTGGCGAAGCACTTGTGAGAAAGCGAAAGCTTTTCCTGCTCTCCTTTTGTTAAGCTTTTACGAGTCTCGCAGATATCGGCCCATTCTTTGCGAATGCATTTCTTTAGTTTCAGGAGGTATTGCTCCTTTGGACTGTCAGATTTTTCAGTCGGTTCCTTAGTTTTACACAATTTTAAGTAGAGACATATATTTTCTATTGGATCCATGTTTTCTTGACACAGTTCGGGTTTATCACTTTTATCTTTATTTGACGATTCAGCTTCCACCGATTTTGCTGAATCTTTTTGACAACTATCTTTCGGCTTATCAGCCATTTTGTCTTGAGTTTGTTGTTTTACCTTTGTTTTTTCTTCGCTTTCTATTTTTTTCTGTGGTTTGTCATCATTTTTTTCCGCACCGTCCTTTTTCTCTTTTTTGGGCGCATCTTTCGGCGATTTTTTCAGGGATTCTTTACAAGAGGTTGTTTTTGTTTTGCCAGATTCACGATGCTCGGCTTTTTGATTTTTTACCTTTGTTTTTTCTTCGCTTTCTATTTTTTTTTGTGGCTTGTCATCTTTGTTTTTCGCACAGTCATTTTTCTCTTTTTTGGAAGCATCTTTCGGCGATTTTTTCGAGGATTGTTGGCAAGAGGCTGCTTTTGATTTGGCAGATTCCCGATGCTCGCCTTTTTGCTTCTTACACTGTCCCAACAACTTTCTGATTTTATCTTTTTTAGCCAATTGGGCACACTGATGTTCAAGATCTTTTTCTTCTTTGAGCCTCTGTTCGGCTCCTGTCTTACACGCCTTTTTCATGCCCTTTTCCATGCACTGCATCATACCTTTTAATACCATTTGTTCCTCCTTGCTCATGCTCTGCATCTCCTTTTCCAAAGCTTTCTTTTTTTCCGCCAAACATAATGTCTCGAATACCTTTAGCTTCTCCTCATCTGTCTTTTTCTCTGCATCGTTTTCCTTGTTACAATTCACCTTCTCAACTATGTTGATGTGTTCTGTATCCGAAGAATCAGTACCAGAACCACATTTACTACTAAAGGGAAATCTCTGAAAGTTGTTTAACGAGGCCATCGGTAGATGCGTTCGTTCCTCATAGTCGGTTATGATGGAAACGCCTCTGGAGAGGGCTTTTCGCAGAAAAATGGTAGTAAAGCGACCAAAAAACATAGTCGGTGGATTCTAAAATTTTGTGGACCAATTAACTAAACTATACCAAATGTCTTTACTAGATGTAATGTAAATTTTGGCTTATTTTATTTAAAGTTTTGGCTAAAATTTTGACATAATTGGAGCTCTAAAATAAACTAAGTGAGATGCCTGAATTTTTTTTTGACTGTGTAGATTTTACAAATTTTGAATCGTCCCATAATCTGTCAACTTCGCAATGGGACTTGCTCCCATTTGTATACAGCGGGCCGTATCGTTTCTGTCATTCAAGTGTAGAATATAAAACAGGAGGCTCTAGTCGGGAGTTCACGACTAGGAGGTAAACTGAATGTTCTTCTGCCAACACCAATTGCAGCTCACGCTACGAGCTCGTTTGCTTTAGCGGTAATAAAAATAAACTAACAAATATCTTGCTCCCTTAAAAGGACTCGAACTCATAAGACTACTTGCAAACGTCTCTAATTGCTCAACAGCAAAACCAACAACTATTTGATACTGAAAAAGAAACTAATTAAAATAGCAGAACATGCGCACAGCACAGCATAAAATACAAGCCCAGTGCAATGCTATTGATAGAATTCAATAAAGACGCGCATGAATGTGTGTATACATGTATACAGAATTCTTGCGCTAGTTATTCTTTTCTCTTCTACGTTTCTTTAATAACTTTTGCGTTTCTTAACCGAACTTGACGAAATTTTCAATAGTAGATCTTATTGTACATTTGTACAATTTCAAAAAGTCAACTGCATTTGAATTGTGGCTTAAATTGGTGGGCAAATCAAATTGGTTTATTCACTTTATTTATAGCTACGTGTTGGTAGCGGGGAGGTGAAGATAACTATAAAATGAAAGATACTTTTTATATTAAGGTATACTATTCTAGAAGCTGCATGTCCAGTTTAATGACTAGCATCATAACTTACTAGACTTGCTCCAAAAACAGGATTTCACAATTAATCACCAACGAGGAATTATTAATAACTTGGAAACGGGGGAACTTATCGATTATCCGAAGCAAACTCGCACAAAATGAAGTGTCTAGCTCTTTTAGGTTCTCAGATCCTTGCTTTCATACATACGAACAGACGGACAGACAGACAGACTGTAGCTTTTATTATTTATATCGATACCGATTTTTATCGACGGGTTGGAAACGGAGTAAGTTATCAATCATCGGAAACAAATTGGTCCTGCGTGGGCACTAGGAGGAGTTTTTAGCTCTTGTAGGTTCCGAGATCCTTGCGTTCATACATACGGACGGACGGGCAGACCGACATGGCTTAATCAACTCGTCTATTGATGCTGATCAAGAATATATTTTATGGGGTGAGAGAAATATCCTTCTGCTTGTTGCATAAATTTGCACAAATTCATTATACCCCTTTCACCCAATTTTAATGGGTTCAGGAAATAAAAACAGAATACCGTGCTATAGCAACCGATTCTGCTCATAGAGCTAATATAATATTGGAGTGTGATCTTGGTAAGATTTGGCTAATTTAAAGGAAGCATAGTGAGATCATTAAATGCCAAGTTTGGTCGAGATATCTTGATAAACAAAAATGTCCTTCACACAAGACCTTAGATTTCGACTGACATCTAAAGAAGCAACATGATAGTGAATAGCTTTAAAGATAAGAGACGGGCTTGCATAAAAAGGGAGAGAAGGATTGACAAATCAATACATCGACTTGGCTCTTGAATAAGAATATGTATATTTATGGTGTTGTGTATGTCTTGTGCGTGACCCATTTCATGCCAATTATAAGAAGTGAAATGAAGCATAAAAGAAAACCCAATATCTTTCCTCAAAGCGACCGTATTGTATGTGGGTTCAGTGTATACAAATTTACTGAATGAATAATGAACTCATATCTGGCTCAACTCGCCCTGTAAAACCCTTTGTTAAATGTTAAAATAAATTTTATTTACAAATACTCCCGTGGCGTGAAGGCAGGATTACTACATTTTTACATTTTCTAGGAGCATGTTTCACATAGCTTTCTCTGTATGTCGTTTTTTTAATTATTTTCTCTTGTTCTTGTTCACCTCTATTTCATTTCTTTGTATGCCTTGTGTGCACTTGGCTGACGTTAACTTACACTACTTTTTTGGAGTCTCCTTATCAGAACTTTTAGCCGCATCTGCACATTTTTTCTTCTCGGCAGCCTCTTTCTCTTTTTTAGCTGCCTCTGCACACTTCTTCTTCTCAGCTGCATCTTTTTTCTTTTGAGCGTCCTCTTTGCACTTTTTCTTAAGAGCTTCTTGGTTACGTTTCTTTTTAAGATCTTCCATCTTCTTCTTGTTTTTTAAAGCTGCCTCCTTACACGTATTCTTAAGAGCTTCTTCTTTTCCATTCTTCTTTTGGGAATCACACTTTTTCTTTTCAGCAGCTTCTTTTTCTTTTTTAGCAGCATCAGCGCACTTTTTCTTTTCAGCCGCCTCCTTCTCCTTTTTGGCGGCATCTGCGCATTTCTTCTTCTCAGCCGCCTCCTTCTCCTTTTTAGCGGCATCTGCGCATTTCTTCTTCTCAGCCGCTTCCTTTTCTTTCTGAGCCGCCTCAGCGCATTTCTTCTTCTCAGCAGCTTCTGCTTCTTTTTTAGCGGCATCAGCGCATTTCTTCTTTTCAGCAGCTTCCTTTTCTTTCTGAGCCGCCTCTGCGCACTTTTTCTTTTGAGCCGCTTCTGCTTCTTTTTTAGCAGCTTCAGCGCATTTCTTTTTCTCAGCAGCTTCTTTCTCTTTCTGAGCCGCTTCAGCGCATTTCTTCTTTTCAGCAGCTTCTTTCTCTTTCTGAGCCGCCTCAGCGCACTTTTTCTTTTGAGCCGCTTCTGCTTCTTTTTTAGCAGCTTCAGCGCATTTCTTTTTCTCAGCAGCTTCTTTCTCTTTCTGAGCCGCTTCAGCGCATTTCTTCTTTTCAGCAGTTTCTTTCTCTTTCTGAGCCGCCTCAGCGCACTTTTTCTTTTGAGCCGCTTCTGCTTCTTTTTTAGCAGCATCAGCGCATTTCTTTTTCTCAGCAGCTTCTTTCTCTTTCTGAGCCGCCTCAGCGCATTTCTTCTTCTCAGCCGCTTCCTTTTCTTTCTGAGCCGCCTCAGCGCATTTCTTCTTTTCAGCAGCTTCCTTTTCTTTCTGAGCCGCCTCTGCGCATTTCTTCTTTTCAGCAGCTTCTTTCTCTTTCTGAGCCGCCTCAGCGCACTTTTTCTTTTGAGCCGCTTCTGCTTCTTTTTTGGCAGCATCAGCGCATTTTTTCTTTTCAGCCGCTTCCTTCTCCTTTTTAGCGGCATCTGCGCATTTCTTCTTTTCAGCCGCTTCCTTTTCTTTCTGAGCAGCCTCAGCGCATTTCTTCTTTTCAGCAGCTTCTTTCTCTTTCTGAGCCGCCTCAGCGCACTTTTTCTTTTGAGCCGCTTCTGCTTCTTTTTTGGCAGCATCAGCGCATTTCTTCTTCTCAGCCGCTTCCTTTTCTTTCTGAGCCGCCTCTGCGCATTTCTTCTTTTCAGCAGCTTCTTTCTCTTTCTGAGCCGCCTCAGCGCACTTTTTCTTTTGAGCCGCTTCTGCTTCTTTTTTGGCAGCATCAGCGCATTTTTTCTTTTCAGCCGCTTCCTTCTCCTTTTTAGCGGCATCTGCGCATTTCTTCTTTTCAGCCGCTTCCTTTTCTTTCTGAGCAGCCTCAGCGCATTTCTTCTTTTCAGCAGCTTCCTTTTCTTTCTGAGCCGCTTCAGCGCATTTCTTCTTTTCAGCAGCTTCTTTCTCTTTCTGAGCCGCCTCAGCGCACTTTTTCTTTTGAGCCGCTTCTGCTTCTTTTTTGGCAGCATCAGCGCATTTCTTCTTCTCAGCCGCTTCCTTTTCTTTCTGAGCCGCCTCAGCGCATTTCTTCTTCTCAGCCGCTTCCTTTTCTTTCTGAGCCGCCTCAGCGCATTTCTTCTTCTCAGCCGCTTCCTTTTCTTTCTGAGCCGCCTCAGCGCACTTTTTCTTTTGAGCCGCTTCCGCTTCTTTTTTGGCAGCATCAGCGCACTTTTTCTTTTCAGCCGCTTCCTTCTCCTTTTTAGCGGCATCTGCGCATTTCTTCTTTTCAGCCGCTTCCTTTTCTTTCTGAGCCGCCTCAGCGCATTTTTTCTTCTCAGCCGCTTCCTTTTCTTTCTGAGCCGCTTCAGCGCATTTCTTCTTTTCAGCAGCTTCTTTCTCTTTCTGAGCCGCCTCAGCGCACTTTTTCTTTTGAGCCGCTTCCGCTTCTTTTTTGGCAGCATCAGCGCACTTTTTCTTTTCAGCCGCTTCCTTCTCCTTTTTAGCGGCATCTGCGCATTTCTTCTTTTCAGCCGCTTCCTTTTCTTTCTGAGCCGCCTCAGCGCATTTCTTCTTCTCAGCCGCTTCCTTTTCTTTCTGAGCCGCTTCAGCGCATTTCTTCTTTTCAGCAGCTTCTTTCTCTTTCTGAGCCGCCTCAGCGCACTTTTTCTTTTGAGCCGCTTCTGCTTCTTTTTTGGCAGCATCAGCGCACTTTTTCTTTTCAGCCGCTTCCTTCTCCTTTTTAGCGGCATCTGCGCATTTCTTCTTTTCAGCCGCTTCCTTTTCTTTCTGAGCCGCCTCAGCACATTTCTTCTTCTCAGCCGCTTCCTTTTCTTTCTGAGCCGCTTCAGCGCACTTTTTCTTCTGAGCCGCCTCTGCCTCTTTTTTAGCAGCATCAGCGCATTTCTTCTTTTCAGCCGCTTCCTTTTCTTTCTGAGCCGCCTCAGCGCATTTCTTTTTCTCAGCCGCTTCCTTTTCTTTCTGAGCCGCTTCAGCGCATTTCTTCTTCTCAGCCGCTTCCTTTTCTTTCTGAGCCGCTTCAGCGCACTTTTTCTTCTGAGCCGCCTCTGCCTCTTTTTTAGCAGCATCAGCGCACTTTTTCTTTTCAGCCGCTTCCTTCTCCTTCTTAGCGGCATCTGCGCATTTCTTCTTTTCAGCCGCTTCCTTTTCTTTCTGAGCCGCCTCAGCGCATTTCTTTTTCTCAGCCGCTTCCTTCTCTTTCTGAGCCGCCTCAGCGCACTTTTTCTTTTGAGCCGCTTCCGCTTCTTTTTTGGCAGCATCAGCGCATTTTTTCTTTTCAGCCGCTTCCTTCTCCTTTTTAGCGGCATCTGCGCATTTCTTCTTCTCAGCCGCTTCCTTTTCTTTCTGAGCGGCCTCAGCGCACTTTTTCTTTTGAGCTGCTTCTGCATCTTTTTTGGCCATATCTGCGCATTTCTTCTTCTCAGCAGCTTCTTTCTCTTTCTGAGCCGCCTCAGCGCACTTTTTCTTTTGAGCCGCTTCTGCATCTTTTTTGGCCATATCTGCGCATTTTTTCTTCTCAGCATCTTCCATACATTTTTTTTTCAGTTCCTGCACCTCACGCCTTATATTAGCTTCTTCTTCACTTTTTTCCTTCATCATCAGTTTTTCTAGTTCTTTATCCATTTTTGGCTGCTGCTCTGGTTTCTCTGCTTCTTTCTTGGTACTTTTGTTTGTTTTTCCTTGTCCAGATTCATCACACATTTCTTTTAAGACCTTCTTTCTGCAGACTTTCTTAAATTCAGCCTCAAGACATTTGTGAGATTGCGCAAGTTTTTCCTTTTCTTGTTTAGTAAACTTACTTCGACACTGACAAACATCGGCCCATTCACCTTTGATGCACTTTTCCAATTTCAACGTAAACCGGTTTTTGGCCTTATCTGTGTTTTCAGCAGGTTTGTTCAAGGAAGAACAAATTTCTTCAATTGGATCTTTCTGTCCAGAGCATCCATCATCCTTAGACTGCGCATCCTTGGGCTGGGCATCCTTGGCCTTCGCATCACCATCCTCAGGCTTATTGTCCGCCTCACACTTACTCATTAACCCTTTAACTTTATCATTCTTAGCAAGTTCCGAGCACTGGGCTTCAAGTTTTTTTTCTTCGCCGAATTTCTTTTGGGCTATTCTCTTGCACGCCTTTTTCATGCTCTCTGTCAGACAGGACATCATGCTTTGCATCAACTTTTGATCTTTTTTGTCTGCACACTGCATTTCCTGATCCAAAGCTTTCTTTTGAGCCTCCAAGCATTGCTTCTCCAGCAATTGTAATTTTTCTTCGTCCTTCTTTTTATTGGCGGCTTCTTCTTTCTCCTTTTTCAGTATATCTTCACAGCCACCTTTGTTTGAATCGTCTGCGGATTCCGAGTCTGCCGACTTACTGAATGGAATTCGTTGCATGCTACCAAGCGAACTCGGCAAGTGAGTTCGGTCCATGCAGTCCGTCAGGTAGGACAGTCCCCTTAAAACGGGTTTACGCAGATGGATGGATGAGAACCGGTATAAAGACATGCTGAATTTATTAAAAGATAATTTTGTTTAAAAAGAACTGTAATTTGGAAAATTTGGCTATAATTTTATTTTATGTGTTAGGCTAAAATTTAGACATAATTGAGGCCAAAAAGTGAACTGAATTGTAGGACTGACTTTTTCAGACTAACTTATTTTTATCAGACGAAACGGAATATTCGCTAAAATAACACATGAGTACTAGATGTAAAATTAAAATGTTTCCAGGGAAATTGAATAAAGCAAATTGAAGATAGTGCATGTTTATGAAATGCAAGTTAACAAGTCGCATTTTCAACTGAAATACCTATGGATTCTTTTCACTTCATGGTTTTTACTTATATTTTTAAAGAGCGATAGCCTCATTGACGCCTAGTAATTTTTAATGTACAATCCAGCTGTTAATCATTTACCATCTTTTTCCCATTTTTAAAAAAAATTTTAAAATGGCTAAGGTGGCTGAAAATAATGGGCAAAATAAGATAACGTGTTTTTTAATCAAAAAGTTCAATAATATCATCAAAATTAACCAATTTGCGGGCCTAATCATTATCTGCAAACCAGTTTTTATCAGAACCGGTTCGAGCACGGATAAGTAATTTTTTTATATATATCTCCAAAAGCTTAAACCAAACCTTTATCCTATTAACCTCAATCAAATTAGCATAACGACTCAAATTTACTTCACTAAATTAGAAAATGCATCCAATAATGTGAATATATATTCACACATATATATATATGGTGAATCGAAACAAGCAAGTACAGAAGCGGCGTAAAAAAGGTCGGCGCCAAAAGTTGTCCCTGTCGAGAATTTCCAAATACTATACAATCGCTTGTGTTCCGTCGTAAAAGTGTCGAGGAACTGCCGCGCAGATCGAGTTTGTTTCCGATAATCGATAACTTTCTCCGTTTCCAAGCAATCGATAATAATTGATATCGATATCCTGTTTTTGGGCAATTTTGGTAAATAATAAGAGCTATATAGCTTCTAAAATATAATATATATATGCATTTGATGTTGCAAGAAGATGGTTCAGGGTATCCCCTAGTCGGGAGCTCCCGACTAGAACCTCTTACTTGTTTGTTTTTTAAATGCACTAATTCATAAGTTTAAAAGAGATTTGTGATGATGCTTAAATGAGCTTAAGGACTAGTTTTCTTGCTGTAAGGAGGCCCATTGAGAGCGGTTTCGAGAACATGAACAACGATTTGGACCCACTTTTGTGGAACACAATAAAGCAATTAAAGAAACGCATAAGTGAAAAAAGTCGAGTATGGTTGGGAAGGTTGGAAAGCGGCGACAAGAAAAGACTTTGTACAGGCAAACAATTTAAATATAAATGTGTCAAACACACAGCAGAATCAGGACACAGACTCAAACTACGATTTTGGATTCGGCTTTGCATTCGGATTCAGCGCAAACGCTTCAAAAATTACCAACAGAAACAAGAACAATGGCAAAAGAAAGTTACACAAAATTAATGAGAACGTAAAAGTGTTTGAATATAAAATGTTGCCAGCGCACACACGTAATTGCGGCGTAAGTTTTGAGCAAACGAATATGTGTGTGTGTGTGTGTGTGTGTCCGTGTGCGACGTAAAATGTTAAAGCATACTTATGTGCGCCACTGTAGTCAGGTGTGTAGTCAACTTGGCTCGGCGTTGTCTGCTGTTGTCTGCTTGGCGGCGCATGAAGTGAAAATTAATTTCTAAATGCGGGAAATTAACAAATTACAAACAACGCGACAAGCGAAGGGTAAAGGGCAAAGGGCAGCAAGTGGCAGGCAGCAGGCAGCAGCAGGCGGAAGTAGACATGCCATAACTTACAAGCGCACACACACACATGTACTTGGCGCATTCATGCGCAGCAGCAAAGTTCGCTTTGGGGGCGGCAAGTTCCATGGAGAACTCAAGGTGTTGAAGCGCAGGTGAGACACATTGTCTTACCTTTGCCTGCCAGCCATGAAGTTGTAGACATATTTCTACACTCCACGCACACACTCAAAGGCAACCCACACCCCCGCCCGCTGACAGTTGACAGCTTTGCTAATTTCCAGCAGCCACCCACCGAAAATGATGTCGGGCGTCTGTCTTGCGCTGCCATAACAGCCCGTACCCCTTCCCATCCGCTGCTTCCCCTTTTACACCTGGGCCCCCAACCACAGCCGATGCGGTCGCGCTTTCAACATTTAATTAAGTTGTGCTCGATTTTATGTTCGACAAAATTGTTTGTCTGCCGCCTGCACTCGCTGTTGCCTATTTTAAATCTGAAGAGTCAACGTTGCGGTGTGCGTGTGTGCGCGCGTGTGTGTGTATGGGCCTGGGGTGTGGCAATCGCTTGTCATGTCGCGGTTGTGGCTGTTGCTCGCGTTGTTTTCCTGTCATTTGATGACATTTTTTGCGGCTAATGCAAAGAGATTTGAAAATTGTTAACAAAAAGTTAAAATATCTAAGTGCATGAAGTTGCACATAATTAGAATATGCTTGTAGAAATTCACAAAACACACAAACATTCAAGCCAAGAAACTATCTTTAACAAAAACAATAAAGTTTTGCTAAGTCCGCGGGCACTAGGAGGAGCTACATTTCAAATCAAGTTTTTAGCTCTTATAGGTTCTGAGATGCTTGCGTTCATACATACGGACGGACGGGCAGACCGACATGGCTTAATCAACTCGTCTATTGATGCTGATCAAGAATATATTTTATGGGGTCAGAGAAATATCCTTCTGCTTGTTGCATACATTTGCACAAATTCATTATACCCCTTTCACCCAATTTTAATGGGTTCAGGAAATAAAAACAGAATACCGTGCTATAGCAACCGATTCTGCTCATAGAGCTAATATAATATTGGAGTGTGATCTTGGTAAGATTTGGCTAATTTAAAGGAAGCATAGTGAGATCATTAAATGCCAAGTTTGGTCGAGATATCTGGATAAACAAAAATGTCCTTCACACAAGACCTTAGATTTCGACTGACATCTAAAGAAGCAACATGATAGTGAATAGCTTTAAAGATAAGAGACGGGCTTGCATAAAAAGGGAGAGAAGGATTGACAAATCAATACATCGACTTGGCTCTTGATACTGATTAAGAATATGTATACTTTATGTTTTTGGGTATGTCTTCTTCTGTGCTTGACCCATTTCATGCCAATTAACAATAGCCTCCATCAGGTTATAATAGAGTGTGAAATGTGAACATTTTTGACCGAATATTTTGTTAAGCATTTATACCAAGTGAAACGACCTTAAAACGACCAACTTATAAAATTCACCAGGGCACTTTAATTTCGTATATGATGACATTCCAAAAACGTCGCCTAGTGCTAAGTGTTTTCTACCACTACTACATGAAAAACTATTCGACAGGCGAGCCAAAATCGCCCACCCAGAACGATGCATGGGGAGTACAAATAAAAAAAAAAACCGATTTATAATTGCGACTGCTCGTCTTGTCTATTGTCATTCAGCTGGGCAAGAAGACTGCTGCTGGGGAGATGACAGGGAGTCGCCGCGTTGTCTGACTGTCTCCTAGGCAAAGATTCATCTTAAAGCCTCGATTTGCGCCATTGTCAGTGTCACCTACACAAAGACTGACTCGTGTCTGTGTGCATAGATACAAGTAGTTGTGCGGTTGGGGCTTGGCTCATTCATCAGTCGGTACTCATTCCACTGGCGGCATTCATCCGTGCACTCATTTAGACATTTGCTGCGCATTTGGCATTGTTAACTATCCGCTTCCAGTTCCCCCTCTACTGTTTTACCGTGTTTTTTTGCTGTTTTTTTTTTGTTTTTTTTTTTCTATCATTTGGAAGCTGCTACTGCTGCTGCTGTTGCTGTTGATTGTTGCACAAGGATTTGTCAAGGATAAAACACTCGAGGCCAGTCGAGTTGGTTGTCATGATTATGTTGATGTCTACGCTTATGATGATGTCCCTGTTCTTGTTGTTGTTGTTGTTGTTTGGTTGCATACTCAGCATCGCTGCCAGCTGTTTGTGTTTAAGGTTAGATTGGGGCTGTGACGCCATCATAAGGACATTGTCATTGTAGCTGTTGCAGTTATTGTTGCCCCTTCAGCTTCTTCTGCTTGCTGTGGCGCATTATAAAACAGTTATTGATTTTGCGTTATGAAATGGCTTATTGGCGCACAGTATGACGGCCTTGGAGTACATCATGATATATGGATTAGAGAACCTTGAGTATGCTGCAGCTCTTGTCAGTTTAAAAGCGAGCAACGCACAAGAACTTTTCAAAATTTTGCTTCACATCCTCTACTCATAACCACTTAAGTCCTCCTTGAGCTTAGCAACTAATGAATTTCATTAGACAATAAGCTCTGCTTATATTTCGTCTTAATATAACTATGAGCACATATGAGAGAAAACCTCTTTTAACTCTTTTAAGAGGTAGATATACAAAATTCGGTATGTGGAAAGTATAAATATTTTACAAGACCGCCAGTAAATCGTTCGTTGCATACAAATTTAGTACTTGATTCTATATGACAAGAATTTCATAAACAAGGTAACAAAATCCATTTAAAATATTTCAACGTTAACTTAAATAAATCATATGTTATCTTTTCTTTTCAGAGCTCGTAATATTAAGGTATAACTTGGGAACAATGATTAATAAATAACAAGTAAGAGATTCTAGTCCCGACTAGGGGATACCTTGAAGCCTCTTCTTCCAACATCAAATGCATATATATATTCTATTTTCGAAGCTATATTTCAAGTTTGGTGACTCTAGCTCTTATTATTTACCAAAATTGCCCAAAAACATAATATCAATATCGATTTTATCGATTGCTTGGAAACGGAGTAAGTTATCGATTATCGGAAACAAACTCGATCTGCGCAGGCACTAGGAGCACCCACATCTATCATTTCAAGTCTATAGCTCTTATAGGTTCTGAGATCCTTGCGTTCATACATACGGACGGACGGACGGACGGACAAACAGACGGACATGGCTAGATCGACTCCGCTATTGATGCTGATCAAGAATATATATACTTTATGGGGTCGGAGAAGCTTCCTTCTGCCTGTTACATACATTTGGATTTTGCACAAATACAATATACCCTTATACCCATTTTTAATGGGTTCAGGGTATAAAAAT